ACACTAGAGAGAATGCAGCTTTAACACATGAAGCTTTGACTTCACTTTAACCTGGAGGTTGTCTCCTGAGTGTGACGGACTCATAAGCCAATCAGCTTGTTGTGCTAACGTGCTAACGACGTACGGCTAAACGTTTCCTGGAGGAAGTCTTCTTTGGTTCCACGTTACTTTCATCGACCTCCATGTTCTCTGTGAGCAGCGGACGATGAGTCGTTAACCAGTGATTTAGAGTGAGGATTATTATCAAACTACAGTATTAACATTAACACACACGTTAAAATGTCACTTCAGCACAATTTAAAACCGATAGCGATGTCTAAACGTAGCTGATATATATATTTTCAACATTTTGAATCCGCCTCCTGACAGAAGTTGGATCAACCAATCAGCTACATTGTTAGCATAGCATAGCATCAATAAAACCAAACTCTATTTAGAAAACAAGCATTTTAAAAGTTGTTTGCTCGTCGTCCTGCGGAGAGAACTAACAAAACATGAATTCAGACTTTTTACAAATCTTTCATCATTATGTTGTTATTTCAGCATCTTTTTTATCTGTTTATTGATATTAAATCACAGCAAAACAAACACAAATGATCCCGCGAGTAACGCAACACGATATCTAGCTTTGCATTTGGTGTGAACGCAGCGTCACACCTGGATCAGCAGAGTCCTGGTTGATCCTCACACAAGTTTAATGTGGTGCAGGTCTACATCACTAAAGCACAGCAGGTGACGGGAAATCTAAAATGATGTGTTTCAGTGAAACCAAACACAAAAGCAGCAGATGGGTAAGAACCCAACGATATATATATATATCAAGCACGTGTTAATGCAGGTGAAGGTAAGCTGTGTATTAATAATCTCAGAGAGTGTATGTGTTATTGTGGAGCTGGTTATAAGCTACCCACCAGGTGAGCCGGGGCTCTGGGTCTCCCGTCAACTCCACCTCTAGCATCACTGGAGAGCCCTCCATAACGGTGGCTCTAGACAGGGGCCTGGTGAAGCAGGGAGGGCCAGGTTTAGAGGCTGTTCCCTGGGGAAGAGACTCTGCCTGGGCAGAAGGAGGAGGAAAGGGAGGCCCTTGGATCTGAGGAGTAAGCCTGATCTCCTCATGGATGGCCACGGGCTGACAAATGTTTGGGTCTTGGTCTGGAGTTAGTAGATGGGGTCGAGAGAAAAGGGGGGTGTCATGCAGATTAGCCTGCGGAGCCAAAGCCTGGGTCTGTGGTTCAAGAGGAGCAGGATCGGTGGGGCTGCTGGGGGTCATGCCAGGGTCATGCACACACTGCGGAGGGGAGGACTGGCAGAAGGAGGTTTGTTTGACAGTCGTGGCTGTGGTCAGGCTGCTGCTTTGGGGCATGGCGACTGAGGAGGTCTCTTTGCTGGTTTGGAAGGAAGGTGCATCCTGATCAAGACCACTCCTGGAATCCAGGTAAGACCGTGAAACATTTGCGTCTTGAGGGAGGGTTGTGGTGGTTTGGAGGCAAGGTGTACAGGATTCGAGGAGCCCAAAGGTCCTGACTTTGTGGAGGACAGGGTCTGTGAGAGCCTGAGAGACCGGATCGATCTGTGGTAAGGCCTCCCTCTGGGATGAGGGGCCGTCTTGGGGTGAACAGAGGCCGTTACGATGACTGATGTCTAAAGGGGAGGACTGGAAGAAAATGGTCTGTTGGGTAATTGTGCTGCTGTTGGTGAGAACGTCCCTTTGAGGTTTGGAGACCGTGGATGTTTCTTTCATGTCCCGATCGAGGCCACTCTCAGAGTCAGGGAAGGACTGTGGAAGACTGGAGTCTCGACAAAGGCCAGTTCTGTTTTGAGGAAATGTAGTGCTGCATTTGAAGAACCTGGTGTCTTTGTGGAGGTCAGGGTCTGGACCACCACAGCTGGACCGGGGGAGTGTGGTGCTGTGATTAAGTTCTGCAACCTGGGGAATAGGATCAGTCTGTAACAAGGTCTCCCCTTTGGATGCCACATGATGGGTGATACCTGGACTCATCTGAGGCTGGTTGCACCGACTGTTGTGCTCCTTCAATAAAGGATCAGTGCGTGAGGGGCTCCTCTTCTTGTCTGGAGGGTCGCTCTCGTGGACCGGGTGTGATCCAGAGGGGACGCCGGGTTCAGGGTCATTACTCCGGTGAGCGTTGGCTGTGCTGGTCTTTCCGGTCTTCAGGATGCTGCACAGAGTGCTGGTGAGGAGACTCGGAGCAGGAACCGTCAGCGGACTCTGGACAAACGAACTGGACTCTGCTCTGAACCTGTAACACACACAACAGGAACCAACTCAGACCAACAAACTTGTTCTGTGACTGTTGTTACATGTCCTTCTCCTGCCTCCTGCCTCACGTTTACATGAGATTATACTTTAGTAGTGCTGGGTATTGACTAGTGATCCGTACTGATCCCCCCTCGCAGTTCGTCTTAAAGTTCTACCGACGATGGTTCTCCTCCAACATTCAGTAGAACATGTGTTTCTAGTCTCTGATCTCTGATCATGTTTCATTGTAAACAACCAATCAGAGGAGAGCTAGTAACGTTAGCAGCACCGCTAACGGCACCAACGGAGGTTCACTTCAGTTACATGATGATGCCTTCAGGCTCTGCTCAGTGAACATGAGTACTGGCTGAAGGTACATTATAACGTTATCATGATGTGTTCACATGTCATCTGTAAAATTTCACATGAATATAAAATAGATATTAGAGTCAGTAGCTGATCAGTAACTGATCCAGACCTGGTGCTGCTGTGCCGGCTGTTTGGAGGAGTTGGACAGCTCTCTGTCCGACTGGACTCTCTCTGTTGTCGGGCTGCACCAGTAGCGGTACCATTAGCGGTACCAGCAGCACTGTGCTCTGACTGGTTGATGTGGACGCTGTGGGAACTGAAACAGAAACTCTCCTCAACGTCCGACTGAATCGTGATGGACTCCGGCGTCTCGGCCAGCGGCGGCAGGGAAATGTCGTCAGGTGACGCACAATCGTATTCGTCATTGGAGAGAGAATCGTCCGACATCACTTCCTGTTGCTGGAGCTGCGCCTCGGACAGGTGTCCTGCAGATGCATCCTGGGTAAAAAACATGTACATATATGGCTCACGGTCACAGGAACAGGGTCTGTGTAGCTAGTTTGTTGTCACTTTATATCTGACTTTCTTCATTTATAGCTTTACAATAACTCATATTTACTCACTGAAGCAGCTAGCTAGCAGCTAACGAAAAGTAGAGCAGTAAAACAAACAAACGACAAAATGCTTAAACTTAGAAGACCAAAACATTTCAACAGTGGAACCCTTTTGATCCAAAGACTAGTGTGGCTTCTACATGAAACCCTTGTGATATTATAGGGTTCTCGGTAGAACCCCCTGGGTGATATCTGAAAGAACCTCCAGAGAGGAGTCTGGGTGGAATGATTACACCATAAAAGAGTTCTCTGTAGAACCGGGTGGAACCTTTCACCCAATTATGTTGGGTTCTGGGAACCAACAAATGTTCTTCTTTGAGTAGAAGCCAAAGAACCCCATGTTGTTCTAGTTAGTACATTTATTTTTCATGTAAACATAAAACAAAAGAGGATCTGAACTGGACTCCTGAGGGACGCCACATGTTTAATGAACTCTGATGATTTACCTGAAGCGGTGTCACCACCTGCTTCTCCTTCTTCTGAAACTCCCTCTGGATGTCGGAGAACGACGGGCCAATCACAGAGGGAGGGGGCGTGGCCTGCAGGTCAGTAGCGGCGGGCTGTGATTGGCCATGGACGACGTGGACCCGTCGGTTGGGCTCCACTGGGGAGCAGGAGAGGCTGAAGGAGGAGTGGGTGGAGCGGTAGGAGGAGGTGTGAGACTGCTGTCTGAAGGAGAGACGACACATTGAACAGATAACAGATAAGAAGCTGCTCTTTCACTCACGATCAAAGAAATCATGGTTCCCAGAGGATTAACCATAATGTTGATGATCGTTCAGTGATACCTGCTGTCCGTCTGTCTGTCTGCCTCCTGACTGCGGCTCTTCTGTAACGGAGGCTTCCTATTGGTCGCGCTCTGCCTCTTCACGGGAACCTCCTTCCCATCATGCTCGGCGGTCAGTTCGGGGGTGTGGCCTGTCTCCTTTAGCTCGTACTGGAGGATTCAGATCAGCTGATTATGATTTAACATCATATATATATATGTATTTATAGCAGTCTGATGACATCACTGAAAGAGTTCAGTTCTTCTAGTTTTTATGTTTTAAAACCATCAAACGTTTAATAAATGTTCATTATGTTTACCATGTCAGCCTCCAGTGAGCAGCGGTTATCTGTCTGCTCCTTCTTCTTCTTCATCTGTCTGTTTTCCTTCATCTTCTTCTCCTCCTCTTCATCCTCTTCTTCCAGATTCTCCAGCTTTGATATCAGTGTGTCAATCAGCTGATTGTGTCGTTATTAAGTAAGTCTGTTCATCATCAGAGTGAAACTTCACCTTCAGTTTGGTCTCCAGCTCCATCAGTCCATGGCTCAGCTCTCTGATGGCCTCGACCATCTCGGAGTGTTTACTGACCGTCTTCTCCGTGTAGCGACGCCCCTCCTCCACGCCTGAAACACAGACACAACCCTGAGCTAGAAGATGAGGCTCAGCTTTGTCATTTCAAGATCTTATATTCTGTTGGTAGCGTCTGTCCAGGGACACTGCAACATTTAGAGGAGTGTCCCTGTTGCTCCTCACCGTGCAGCCGGACAGCCAGCTCGGTGATCTGACTGATCCTCTCCTCCTGCTGAGGAACCGTCGGCCAGACGAACTTCTCAAACTGCCGGTAGAGAACGGAGACAGCTTCTGTGCTGCGACACTCGGAGGAGAAATTGCCCACGCGAGCGATGGTGGCGCTGGCCTCCTCACACCAGAACTGGTACTGTGAACACAGAGCGACGCGTCGTTATTACTCAGGACAAATATCACACATACCTGGACTCATATCAGACATCCAGGTATATGATAGGATGCGAGTCCAGTGTGATTGTAACCGACACACAGCAGGAGAAAGCACCTCCTCCACGGCTCGCTGCAGTCTGCAGCTCATCTCCAGAGTCTTCTGGTGCTCCTTAACGCTTCGCTCAAACTCTCCCGTCTGTCTCTGCAGCTCGTTGACGGCGTCCTCCGCCTGCTTGGCCACGCCCCCGTCCTTGACCTCTGACCCCAGCCGGGCCGTCACACCCTGCAGACGTTTCCTGAGCACCTGCAGGATCAGAAGCTCTTCATGTTACATTTAGATCTTTGAAATAAGCTGAACGTCAGGTTTCTATGTAACGTTGTTACAACAGTTTGTGGCTGAGGAGGAAGATGTGACAAACACTGATTTTACTCCTCGTTTCTTCTTCTACTGTGGACAAAACATTCATGTCCTGCTGCCACGGACCTCCTCAGAAAGACCAGAAGAGCTCACATGCATCCAGAGATACAATCACTCATTCATCAATAAATCTGCTTTCACTTCAGAGAAAATGTTCTTTTCTACTTCTTTGTCATTTTAAATCCAGTTTTAATTCATCTGTTGAAATTCTTTAAATTACAATAAAATGTTAAGTTTATTTCTATCTCCCACTTTTATTTGTTTTATCTGTAAGAGGAAGTTTTTTACATCACTTTGAGCTACGTCGTCTGTCTGAAATGTGCTTTATTAAAGATTATTATTACTATGGGACAGATGACAGTTGAGGAGGTCTAACATCAGATACTGAAGCGCTGCTTTACCTCAGACCTGATGCTTCTGAGTGAAAGCGGATGAGGACCAGATGAGGACCGGATGAGGACCAGGACTCACCTGCAGCTTCTCCTCGTACTGGTCCACCTGCTGCAGCTGGTTCCTGGAGGCCTTCGTGTTCCTCGTCCTGTCGTTTCTCTTCAGGTAGTTGAACCTCAGGTTGCTGAACTTCTTCTTCAGCTCCTTGAAGGAGTCACGAAGCTGCAAAACACAGTTTTATTCCATCATATACACTGATTATTAATGTGTGCATATTTTAATCAGTTGGCCTTAAATATTGCACAATCAAGTGTTAATATACACCTGACACTTTAATAATATACTTGTTTTAATAAACTCTTATCTGTTTGTCTATTTACCGTATTTCTATATTTTATTGTAGATGTCTACATGTTTCTATCTTTAGATAATGTCTGTAATGTTATGCAGCACCCACCAGCTCAAGGTCCTTGTATGTGCAAACAGACGCTTGTGATTCTGATAGCAGTTCATGTTTAGAAACCTCTTCCTGACTCACTGGACCTGATTTATCATCGTTTCTTTATTCATTGACAGCTTCACTTCCTTTATTCTCTATTAATATACTGAACACCAGGAAGCAGCTATGTGATGCTATCGGATGGATTGAGATGAAACTCTGTTTCCCAGAGGATGAACCTTTCTGTCATCTCTAGACATTTTGGGGTTTTGAACAAAACGGCTCATCAGCTTTTGGTATGATGGTGATGAAATATGGTTTTATAATATATTTGGTAATCCTGTGACTGTTCATCTAGCAGCTTAATCAGGTTTATCGTCTATTGGTTCCTGCTCAAAATAAAAACAACAGTCTTTGACCTCATGGTGGCGCTAGTTGAGAAGTTTTCATGCTGCATCATCTGGAAACTACAGCTGTTGAGATGTTTCACTAAAAGCCAGAAACCATCAACCTGCTGGTGACGCTGGAGCCACAGAATCACTAAAACTCAGGATAGGATTCATCCTCTGGGGAACATGAACAGTTGTTTCACATAGTCTCTTGTACACATCCATCCTCTGATGTCTGCTCGCAGCTGTAACTAAGTAGACGGAGCTTTGATGAGATTATTTTTAGAGCCGGAGAGTTTAAAGCCAGAGGGACATTTCTGCCTCGGTGTCGGATGTCTGATCTTTCAGCTGAGGACAGCTGAGAGACAGAGACGTCTGGGGGAACCCTGGATGGAGCACTAAAATAACAAAAGGTTATTACCCAGAACCACCAGGAGCTAATGCAGTGAGTTCACCATGAAGACAACCAGGATGGACCACAGAGATCCCATTAAAGACTCCAAAAGATGATTACAAATGACTGTGACTTACACCAGAGTACAATGAAGTATCACAGGAGACCATGAAGTACACTGAACTACCCCTAAGAACCAAAAGACCCCACAAGAGATTCAAGTCCAAGAACTACCACCAAGCAATATAAAGACCACGATGACCAAAAACTACCATTGACTTCCACAGAGTACCACGAAGTACCTGCAAAAGTATCCCAGAATACCATAAAGTAAAATTGATTTAGAACTAATGGACTCCTGAGGACCATGAAGTGCCCCAAAAGAGATTACCGCAGAGTATCATGAACTATCCACAGTACCATGAAGTACCCCAGAAGGCTGCTGCTACAGACCTGGATGAGCTCACTGACACTGTGACATCTTACATCAGTTTTTGTGAGGACATCTGTGTGCCGAATAAAACCTTCTGCACATTCAACAACAATAAACCCTGGTTTACTGACAAACTCAGGCAGCTTCGTCGGGCCAAGGAGGAGGCCTACAGAGGTGGGGACAGGTCCTGTAGACTGTAAAGCTGGAGAAAAGCCAACGACCCCTCGTCAGTTTGGAGAGGCCTGGAAATACTCACAAACTACAGGAGACCATCCCCCCCCACTGAGGCCATTCACCAACTGGCTGACGACCTGAACGTTTTCTACTGCAGGTTTGATAAGCCTACTCTCACACCCCCCACCTGCCCCATCATCATCAAACAACCATCTTCTCCCCCTGCCTCCTCCTCACCTCTCCCAACTGACCCCCCACTGGCACTGAGGATATGCGAAGAGGATGTGAGTCGGCTCTTCCACAGACAGAAGATCAGGAAGGCACCAGGCCCAGAAGGTGTGTCACCCTCGTGCCTGAAAGTCTGTGCTGACCAGCTGGCCCCCATCTTCACACAGATCTTCAACCGATCACTGGAGCTGTGTGAAGTCCCCTCATGCTTCAAACGCTCCACGATCATCCCGGTTCCCAAGAAATCCTCCAACACAGGATTAAATGACTACAGACCCGTCACCCTGACATCTGTGGTCATGAAATCCTTTCAGAGACTGGTGTTGACCCATCTGAAGGACATAACAGGGCCCCTGCTGGACCCCCTGCAGTTTGCCTACCGTGCAAACAGGTCGGTGGATGATGCAGTCAGTATGGGACTGCACTACATGCTGCAACACCTCGACTCCCCAGGGACATATGCAAGGGTTCTGTTTGTGGACTTCAGCTCAGCGTTCAACACCATCATCCCAGCAATACTCCAACCCAAACTCTCCCAGCTCACTGTGCCAGCCTCCACCTGTCAGTGGATCACTAACTTCTTGACTGACAGGACGCAGCAGGTGAGGCTGGGAAAAATCACATCCAGTACTCGGACTATCAGCACTGGCACCCCCCAGGGATGTGTGCTCTCCCCACTGCTCTTCTCCCTCTACACCATCGACTGCACCTCAGAGGACCCGTCTGTTAAACTCCTGAAGTTCACAGACGACACAACGGTCATCGGCCTCATCGGGGACGGTGATGAGTCTGCGTACAGACGGGAGGTTGAACAGCTGGTCCTCTGGTGCGGTCAGAACAACCTGGAGCTAAACAGGCTCAAAACTGTGGAGATGACAGTGGACTTCAGGAGGAGCCCCCCAACACTGCCCCCGCTCACCATACTCAACAACACTGTGTCTGCTGTAGAGACCTTCAAGTTTCTGGGATCCACAATCTCCCAGGACCTGAAGTGGGCTCCCAGCATCAACACCATCAGGAAAAAGGCACAGCAGAGGTTGTACTTCCTGCGCCAACTCAAGAAGTTCAACCTGCCTCAGGAGCTGCTGATCCTGTTTCACTCCACCATCATCCAGTCTGTTCTCTGTTCTTCCATCACTGTGTGGTTTGGATCAGCTACTAAACAGGACAGGAACAGACTGCAACGGATTGTCAGGTCTGCAGAGAGGATCATTGGTTCCAGCCTGCCCTCCATCCTGGACTTGTACTCCTCCAGAGTCAGGAAACGGGCTGGAAAGATCACTGCAGACCCTTCACACCCTGGACACAAGCTGTTCCAATTCCTCCCCTCTGGTAGGCACTACAGGGCTCTGTACGCCAAAACCACCAGACACAGGAACAGCTTCTTTCCACTGGCCGTCACTCTCATGAACAATAAATAATATTGCACTACTACCTCTGTCTGCACTACTGTATTATATATATATATATATATACACTTTTTTTGGGATATATTTATACTTATATTGTATATAGCTGTTACATGTTTATACCTCTGTTCTACTTTTTTGCTGCCCTTTTTTATTCTTATATATTTTTTCTTGTTTATTGTAAAATAGTGTATTGTTTGTACATTGAGAGCGGAGTGGAAACCGGAGACAAATTCCATGTATGCGTACGCATACATGGAATAATAACTAATAATAATTAAGAAGTATCAGGAAATATCAAGAGATAATCATGAAGTATCATGAACTATACCTGGGGAGAGTACTAGGAACTACCACAAAGTATCTGACAGAGTACAATGAAGTACTCCAGGGGACCATTAAGAGATTATCATAGCATCCAGGGAAGTACCTCAAAGTACCAATATCCTACAGTATTGTGTCGTACCCCAGAAGATTGTTAGTTCAGATCTCTAAACCATTTAGGGAAAACCTGAGTAGAGACAGTTTTTGGAGCACGAAAAAAAAATAAAATTCTAATACGAAGATGACCCACAACTTCTAGGAAGTAGCAGGAAGTAACACCAAGAGATAACCACGAAGTAGCCAAATCAAGGAGACCACAAAGCACCCAATGGTACCACAGTACCCCGTAGTACTTCAAATAACTAAAACATGAAGTACCATGAAATACCTCTAACAGTACCCACAGACCTAATTCAGATACCTTTCAGAGTTCAGCTGGCGGACTCTGTGATGAATTGGTCTACCTCTTGGGACCCTTAATGAGAACCAAAGATCCTCTGAATGTCTGTGGTGAAAATAAACATCCCACCAGAGAACAGAAATAGAACCATGTTTAAAAAAGAAGACCTGTAGATCCCCTTAAGGTGACTAAGCACTCAACCCTTCCTCCCTCTGATCCAGTGTTCATGGTTCATAGTTGACTCAGTGGTGGCGTCCCGTTACAGAGCCTCCAAACTTCGCTCTGAAGACCTCCAACTGGAAGTTCACTGATCTTGTTATCGTCGACACCTTGAGAATCAAAGATCAAACATCACTACATAAATGAACACATCTAGACTACGGGTAATCTGAACCCAAAGTGGACTTTCTGGAACTCCGTAGACATTATGTGTAGAGACGTCTTCTGGACATGATCGAGACGTTTGACGGAGTCTTGACAGACCTCCACAGGTACACACCTGGAAAGTGGTTTTGGTTTGGATTCCCTCTTTAGCTGCGTCTCCTTTCAGGCTTCATGTCCACTAACGGGGCGTGGTCCATGTCCTTCAGAGGACTGAGTGCTGAACCTGCGCTGATCCATATGAACTGGATCTTGGGATACTGAACCAATGACACAGAAGTTGTGTCCTCCACATCCGGGGAAAGGAAAGACGACACTTCTCAAATCCTTTGGGACGGGACGGCCTTGTTGATCCGTTTAGATGAAGTCCAGGTCCCTGAACTCTCGACATAGAGCTGGTTCAGTCACAGGAGTTGTTTCACCACAAACCCTCGAAGCTCTCAGTGTCTGAAGCACCGGTCCAAATTCAAATGAGGACATTTACTTTGACAGTTGAATCATTATTACAGCAGAAGTGAATCTTTGCTTTGAAAAGATGAACAAATGCAGAGAGGCCATGATGCAACAATAAACATATTAAACCATATTAAACAAAGCTCAAACTTCTTCTTCTTCATCTCTTACTGGAAGAAGAATCGTGACATTTCAGAGTGTTTGATCGCCACCAACAGAAACATGCATCTCCTCATGTATTTCTACTTGAGGGTACTTCTACTACTGGATAGTTTCCACCAAGAGATAGCCATGAAGTAGCCAAATCAGGGAGTCCACAAAGCACCCAATGGTACCACAAAGCACCCAATGGTACCACAAAGTACCCAATGGTACCACAAAGCACCCAAGTTCATCAACACTCCACAGAGCCACACAGTGGTCAAACAACAGAATACCGTTAACAGGGTTCCTGTAATCTTTAAGAGAACCTCAAACACAACAACAAACAATAACACATGGTTGTATATTTCCAGCTGAAGCAGCTTCACAACAGAAGACATTCCTCAAATTACAGAACAGACTCCCTGAACATCAGATACTTCATCCTAAAGTGTATCGGTAATGTTAAAATAAAGGTTATAGCTCTGACAAAGCGCCTCTTTAACATTAACATGAACATTAATATTAATAACAATCAATCATAACATCAGAGAGTATTGATCCAAACTCTGAGAACTTTGTTTGAGCGTCAAAGAGTCTCTGATATCAGCCTCAGCTGCTCCTGGAGGTTTCAGTGTGCTGGTGACATGCAGCACCAGGTGCATGATGGGAAATACCCGTTGGCTGACTCGGCCTGTATTTCTGCTCTAACCCCCCCCCCCCCCCCCCC